TGCCTGCATATAGAAAAGTCACAGGCTCAGCACCCGCCTACTTCCACTCACTACTACGAATCTACATCCCCTCCAGAACTCTGAGATCCGCTAGCGAGCAACGCCTCGTGGCACCATCACAGAGAGGCTCAAAATCACTTTCCAGAACATTCTCGTTCACCATTCCTGGCTGGTGGAATGATCTTCCCACCCCTATCCGGAATGCTGAATCCCTGACAATTTTCAAGCGACAGCTGAAAACATCTCTTTCAATGCTACTTGACTTCATCTTAAATTAATAAAAAAAAAAAAAAACTTTGTCTTTCTCTTTATTTATTCCTTCCCTTTCTAGCTTGTACTTATTTGAACAATGCCTAAAACTTGGTATTACAAGCACTTCCTGTGTCTGTTTGTCTCTTTAAGAAGAATCACTTTATGTATTCCCCAATTGTAAGTCGCTTTGGATAAAAGCGTCTGCAAAATGACAAAATGTAAATGTAAATGTCTTACCATCTTGACATCATCCTTGATATCGCGTTTGATGGGACTTGAGGACAGGGGTCTGGTTGGTGACTTATCATTGAACAAATTCCTCTTCCTGTGGAAGAGAAAAAACTTTTAGCTCCCTTACACTAGATCAGGGGTGTCAAACTCCTTTTCACTGAGAGCCACTTCAACATTATGGATGCCATCAAAGGGCCGGTTGTAACTGTAAGACTGTACAAATGTTACTAACATATTGTCTCTTAATGTTATTATTACTTATTTAAGTTACAAATATTGCATGCATTTGCAGAGATGTAATTTATGTAATTGCTCTGTTATTTTAACATAAATCCTTTTAATTTATCAAGTTAAGAAAGCCAAATTACTCTATAAATCAAAGTAAATAATAAAGACAAGTATCATCAAAACACAAGTCATTACATTAACTTTGTTAAAAACTTTTTTTGTTACATTTATGGCACAACAAATAATTGCGAGCTGCTAAGAACGTGTGACAGATATGGCATGAGTCCGGTCTCATGAAAATATGTATCAATAGCACAATTTTCTGTTTCTATTTGGCATGCAATTTATATGCAGAAATTTACTTTGACGTGCATATGATACGCACGTGTTTGGTGTGCATATGATATGCAATCAATGCTTGTAGTAGAAAAAAAGAAGTGGTGGTACTTAACCCCACTCCCCCACCCAAAAATGAATAAATACAAACTAAAGTACTAAAAAAGTACTTTTTAATTTTCATAATCTGCAATAAATGTATATAGTGCCACAATAAATAAATAAATTCATTAATTGTTTGCAATTCAATTCACGTTATTGGTATAGCACTTTTCATGATACACTATTGCGAAGCAGCTTCACAGAAAATGAACATTTCTACATTGCATTTAGTAGTTTACAGCATTGCACAAGTCAATCTGCGATACCAAACAGGAACACAGGGGGATGCCAAAAGACCACTAAACGAGCTATCTTGACCTGACTGATCCAGATTTACTAAACCACCACTGCGTAAACTAAAACACCTTCAGCCAGCATCCAGTATAAAACACTCGTGCTTTTAAGCTAAATAGCTTGCTGATTTTTTTTTACTGACATCTGTATGCGAGTACTATTATCTCCGCCATATCTGATGAAATAGGCCGTGTTTTCTCTGCATTAGCGCTGTTTTGAACTTACTGTTTGAATGCATTCGTTTACTGGATTCTTAGACTTTCCAGGACTTTACCGGTTGATCTGATCGCAAAAAACCTGGTTCTTTTCATTTTTATAATGTATTGTTTTCGTTAAAATTTACTGATTTAAATTAGTAAGTTATTTTACTACTCTACGCTAGGGTGACCACCTGGCTTTTGCAGGACGTTAGATGTGATTTTACGGGACAATGCGGGACATGTGCGAAACAGATACATTTATTACTATTGTTATGCTATGTAAATAGGCTACTGATTTACTTCATTTTTATAATGTATTGTTTTCGTTAAAATTTACTGATTTAAATGAGTAATTGTTATTTTACTACTCTACGCTAGGGTGACCACCTGGCTTTTGCAGGACGTTAGATGTGATTTTACGGGACAATGCGGGACATGTGCGAAACAGATACATTTATTACTATTGTTATGCTATGTAAATAGGCTACTGATTTACATTCGTTGGCATATATGCGCCAATTTTCTGCCGGTGGATGCCCACACTCCAGGTTGCGTTTATTAAACTCGGGAGAGAAGATTTTTAAGTGCACACATGTAATGTCTGACAGATAGAGAGCGCGTCCGTTTTCTGTGAGAGTGAATGAATGGGAATCCACCTGCGAGCAGAGCAGGGCTCGCAAAATTTCAAAATCCCTGGTCGCCCTTCGGGCAGGTACTCTTCAGATTTTGGTAGCCTAAAAATGTATTTAACTAGTCCAAATAAAAAAAGACCTTTTAAAAAAATATATATATATAGAAAATCACACAGGAGTTTAAATGTCAATCAAAAATATTTTTAATACACAAATATCAACAAATATGAAGGAAGGAATTTATTTCACTGTTTACAGGGTATCTGCAGAATTTTAAAAAATAAATGTAAGGCAATTTATGACCCATTTTAAGAGCTGCACAAGTAAAATGAACACAGTATGGGTGGGGTTGGACAATGTCTGTGGAAACATACAGTACTGAGCCATAAAATTACATGATTTACAGTTCAGATACAGGTTTCAGATACATTCAAATAAAGACATCCGCAACGCGTTTGGACTTGAAACATACAGCACTTATATTTATTTAATGACATCATGGTGATACATTTTGGTAGCCCGACTGGAAAACACAATAGCCTCGGGACGTCGGGCTAGCGATTTTGCGAGCCCTGCAGAGAGATTTGCACTCGCACATTTGATGCACTCTCGCATAGGCAATATGCCTCTGGACATTTGTCATTAAAATAACTCCATAGAAACAGTCTCAAACTAACTATTAAAACGAGAAGTCGTGTCTGAAAGCTGCAATCGAAAAAAAATGTTATTCGTTAAATGAAAGGAGAATATCGTGTTTTTACGGTGGTGCCCGAGCACTAGATGAGGTCCGCTTTATTCCTTTGAGCCTTCCACGCAGTCCTCATCAACAGAAAAACCCCACACTCCTAATCCTAACCATTGCGTATCATATGCACACCAAAGTCAATTTCTGCGTATAAATAGAATGCCAAATAGAAACAGAAACTTGTGGTATTGGTACGCACTTTCATAATTTACGATATCAAGCTGCATAGATTTTTATTTTAAGACAATCATATGCTCTCGGGGGCCACATAAAATGATGTGGCGGGCCGGAATAGGCACAAGGGCCTTGAGTTTGACACATGTGCACTAGATCATACAAGTACCTACACAAATCTTTCAAAATCCACATGCACAACAATCTAGATGCATCAGTCTTTTCCTTTTTGCCTTGGTCTCCATTAGGATGCAGGATTCACAGGCATGCAGGTGTAGTGTTTGGACCAATCAGACACACAATTGTTTATTAGATTTTAGGGCTGGGACAATAAATCGATGCATCACGAATCGAGAAATATTTCTGCATTGATTCTGAGATTTTCCGAAGGCATCGCGATTCTCTCTTAAATTGATTCTGAGCTTAGTTTTTAACAGTAGATGGCACTGTGTGCTTTAGAAATAGCCGTATTCTGCTTGCTTCCAGTTCCTTACACACGCACCATTTGAACCTAAAATAATCATTCATAAAGTTTGAAAAGGTTAAAGTGAATTACAAGAATGATCACAGTGGGCTGTGTTTACATTAATCTTGCATCATAAAAGCATAAAAGCTGATGTGCAAGTACATTTATCCACTTACATTACTCAGCCGAACGCACAAGCGCTCTTCCTCGTGAGCATTTGAGTGTGCGGTTAAAAACTAGCCTAGAGCGCAATCTGCTGTTAAAAACTAAGCTCAGAATCGATTCGAGAGAGAATCACGATGCATTCTGAAAATCTCAGAATGGATTCACGAATAGCGATGCATCGATTTATTGTCCCAGCCCTATTAAATTTAACAAATAAATTATTCATTAGATTAACAAATAATCACAGACCCCTCACCCAATAACCATACTGGGTGCCAGGATGTCTGTGAACGACCCCAGGCCACTGGTTACCATGGCAAACAGGACACCTCAGCCAGACCAGATACATTTTACGAAGTAATGGCACGTCGAGAGTTCTCCCTCTCACTACCTTTCACCCATAGGAAAAACATGATGCCCATAAAAATGGACTCTTCTCTAATTAATTCATAGAAAAACTTTTCTTTGAATGAACACACACATCCTTCAGGTGTTTGTGTATATTATTACTATTCTTGTATATTGTCTTTTGTATTGTATGCTGTTTTATGCATGCTTATGATAGAACCACTCATTCATGTAACCTTACCTATACCATGTTTGGTCTCTATGAATTCGTCTTCGGATGATCTAATTGAAAGTGTATATTATATGCTTATACCTATGCAACATATTAGTGTTCTAAGAATTTTTAGTAGCTTTTGCATCAACACCCAATCGAATAACATATGCAAAATGCTATGCTCTAAGACAAAGAGTCATAAACTTTCCCTCCAAAAGTGCAAGTCACCATTGGCTCTTTGACCCCCGAGAGGTGTGACCTCGACAGAACTTAAAAGGCCTCACATCAGTGATGCCTCACTGTCTTGCTTCTTTTAGATTCTGAGAAGATGGGGATACTGGGCTAGAACTCTACTGGAACCCCTAAGTTTGTGCCAGGCTGCGAGCCTCGTCTTTTTGGCTTCTCCAAAGATCTTCGGATTTCAGCTGATGTCTCTTGAGCTCTGCGCTCTTCTCTCATCACCTTCATCTGGGAGAAAACTCTCCCAATCACCACCGAGTCAGAAGAATAACATCTTTGGAGTTCATCACGCTTCAAACTTGGAAGAACGTGATCTCAACTCCAACACCACCAAACCTTAAAACCATCAAGACTTTCATCCGAGACTGCATCCAGACACTCGTTCAACGACCAAGGCAATGCAAGTATCGTACATTTAACTAAAAGAACAGAGGTTTAGTATAAGCTGTAGATTCCGTTGTAAAACGGCGCTGATGGTTTCTACTCAGGTGTGGTTAGCTGACTTATGTTCCATAACTGCACTTCCTGGTTTCTCTAATGGTTCCATTAATCCACTTCAACTCCCTTTTGTATGTACGTGTGAGTGTATGTTTGTTTGTTTGTTGGTTTGTTAGACTAATTTGTGTTAGTGTTTAGTTAATAAAACTCTTGTGCACAAATTACATGAGTCTCTGATTCTGCCACCACTTGTGAATAATGTCCCTTTTACGATCCGATCTAGCTACATGCTTTAATGCATTAGTACTGTAGGAAAGTTCTTTTCTGCAGCCAAGAAAATATCCTTTCTTAGATTTGATATGAAATTACAATGAATGTTCGCTGGACAAACAGATTAGTTGACGGCAATTTAATTCTGCTACAGTTACTACAGGCAGTTCATATAAATAATTGTAATTAATCATAATTAATTGTAATTATTTATATACATTTCCCTTTTGAGCTAATTTGCT